AACGAACCGTGAACAGCCGGCACCCAGATGATCTGTACAAGAATGGAATCCAACGAGAGAGTTTCGTTCCTTGCATAAACCTAATTAAAGAGAGGCTCATCGTGACAGACCTGAACTCCGGCACAGGTGCGCTTGAACTCTCACCGCTGCGACGAACTTCTCCTAATCGCGAGCCAGACTATCGAAGGATGTTAAAAGCTATGTCGAAGGTCTATTACTCCCCATTAAATCACGAGACACAGCAGGAGATGGACAAGTTGTTTACCGCCATCGCCGAGGGCGAGAACATCGTGCAGAATCGCAAGCTTTCCGTGTGGGGTCGGGATGTCGTCTGCCCTGAGAGCACGAGCAAGGTCGCCAGATTCACCTTTGCCGCACTGTGCGGTAGCCCACGAAGTGCGGCGGACTATTTGGAGATCACGAAGAACTTCCCTACCATCTTCGTGACGGATATCCCGAAGATGGGTCTATACCAAAAGGACATGGTGGGTACTCCGACATGGACCAAAGCATCGCATCTCTGATCCATGGTCACAGGCTCGCCGCTTCATCACTTTTATTGATGGTCAGTCCATGTACATAACTTTGCCTGAGTGATCCGGTCTGACTTCTTTCCTAACAGCTTGCTATGAGAGCAAAACCAAACTGTTCGTTTCGTCGGAAGTCCCTATCTTCCAGATCTTCTCGGATGAGGGAGAGCTGAACAAGAAGGAAATGAGTGACCACATAAGGCACATGATGGACGATCTTGTAAGTCTACATCACTACAGTGTGGCTATGCGCTTATAATCCTCTGTAGGGTCTCGACGCGACGAAGATTGGAACGACTTCCCTCTTCAGCGGAGATGAAGAGCTGTTCGCTTTTGCCCGGGCCGTATCCCGGCTGACCCAGATGGGGACGAAGGCATGGGCTGAGACAGCCGGGCAGCAAGAATAGAACTGCTCATAGAGCATTATTGATAGGACGGATGTTGTTGTATAGCACATAGAATAATTCTTGCATATCCATAACATTGGCACAACAATGCGTTTCATTATTGAGAACGCCTCGGACGACGGACGGACGCGCCGCCGCGTCACGCACCCTAGATTAGACGCGTGTAGTCGGAAGCATCCCTCCTCGGTGCTCGACGCTGCGTAGCAGCGTTCGTTCAGAGCATTGCCAGAAGGGTCAGCGCTACCAACTTGCAACCAGCCCGCTTCGCGCCGCTACGCCAGCAATCGTCGACGTCCCGTTTTCTGAGGCTCTGTATCACCTGTGAGAAGCACGCTGCTCGAGCAAGCTCGACATGGGTACGCCGGCAGCATCCAGATACGCAGCCTCCACAACTGACCTGTCTCGTTAGAGCCGGCCGTACTCAAAGGGCTGAATGACAAGTTCTACGAGAAGAGGAAGGGTGCTGCGCTTGAGCTGGAAAAGTTGGGCGCTCCCATTGTACACCCTCCTGCTCTCTGACCTTCATCTGTAGGGCCGTTCGAGACGCTCAGGCGCACAGCGACACGGGCAAGATCCACCAGATAATCGACCAGCTCTGCGACCTCTTCGCCTCCTCCAGCAACCCGTTGCATTCGCGCAATGGCGGCCTCATTGGTCTTGCCGCTACGGCTATCGCCTTGGGCGTCGAGGTGGCCCCGCATTTGGAGACGATTGTGCCACCGGTACTTGCCTGCTTTACCGACCCCGAGAGCCGGATACGATACTTCGCGTGCGAGAGCATGTACAACATAGCAAAAGTCTCTAAAGGAGAGATATTGATCTTTTTCAACGAGATCTTTGATGCTTTAAGCAAGGTATGTTGCGTCTCCGCTAAGTCAGCTCGCATTGACGTCTGTGTAGCTGGCCGCCGACTCGGAAACATCCGTTCGAAATGGCGCAGAACTACTCGACCGCTTGCTGAAGGACATTGTCGCCGAGTCCGGTCCCACATATGTACCCCATTTCCCGGAGACGGAGAAGATTCGACGAGAAAAGCAATCGGACGCTCTTACAGGCCTAGGCATAGCAATGACATCAAAAGAAACTGACGACCCGGGCGAGAACCCGGCGTTCACCAAGCAGGCATTCTCCCTGGCGCGGTTCATTCCTCTATTGTCGGAGCGGATATACGTGATCAGCCCGCTGACGAGGAGCTACCTCGTTTCTTGGATCACAGTACTGGATTCGGTACCCGATCTGGAGCTGGTGTCGTATCTGCCTGAATTTCTGGATGGATTATTGTGCGTGCACTATTCCACATCACAACGAGCATATACTGATTCATGTCTCAGGAAATACCTCTCCGATCCTACTGAGGACGTTAAAATCGCTACCGAAAACGTCCTGGCCGACTTCCTGAAGGAGATCCGGCAGATCGCACAGGTGCAAGCACAACGAGAACGTGAGAGGTTGAGGAAAATAGAGAAGGCGAAGGCGAAGAAGACAGAGGCAGAGGCGAGGGGCGTGCAGCCGGAAGAGCCAGTCACGCCGCCTCAGCGAACCAACGGAGACTCTGGATCATGCGTGTATGAGGACGAGGATGAGCTTGTGGATGATCAGGGAAGAGGCAGCGGAGGTGCGTCCTAAACACTCTTCAGTGCAGTATCTCATGCTGACCGTTGGTCTGTAGCGTGGATACCCGGTCAGAATGTCGCAGTGGACCATGCGGCAATCGTTGAGATCCTAATAGCCCAGCTGGACTCAGATCGTGCGTCCGGTCTCAATCTTGCTTCAGGAACGTCTACTAACACCTCCTTCAGACGACGAGATTCAGCAAAGTACAGCCTTGCGATGGCTGACGGAGTTCCTCTCGTTCGCAAAAGAAGTCATGGTGCCCTTCACCCCTCGCCTGATCCTCGCGGTCCTCCCAAATCTTGCGCACCATGTCCCGACGATACAAGCTGCTGCACAGACGACCAACCAGCAGCTCTTCCAAGTAATTCAGGCCCTGCCCGCCCCTGTTGTCACGCCCGACACGCCAACACCCCAGCCTTCGCAGGCGGCTTTGCCGCCTCAGCCTGTCCCCGTTGCTGCTCAACCACCTAGAGCACAATCAGTGGCCTCGACAACCCGAACGGCACCAGCTTCTCCCACATTTGATGGGACTGTATTCCCGTCACGAGCCAGTCGGGACTTGAATCGCGACAGTCTCGACGCAACTGCAACTCCTGTGCCGGGAAAGCGACAACCTACGCCATCACCTGTTCCGTCCGGCTCCCGTGTTCCCGAGCCATCAGTTGTTGCTCCCACCGATGGAAACACCCCGAGCAAGGAGATGCCGGGTGATGGCGTCCCTCCCCTGCAGACAGGCTCTCCGGCATTGTCAGATGATCTGAACGATTCACCCGACCCGTTCGACTACCAGCTTACTGTCAACTCGCTCACTGTACAGTTCATGAGCGAGCACGAAGAAACACGGGTGGCGGCTTTGAAATGGCTGCTCATGCTGCACTCGAAGGCACCGAAGAAGGTAATATTGTATTTGTCATCTCATCGCCGGTGCTGATCGTTCACCAGATTCTGGCCATGGACGATGGGACCTTCCCGGCCCTTCTGAAGACACTGTCCGATCCCTCAGAGGAAGTCATCAAGAACGATTTGCGCCTCTTAGCGCAGATATCTTCCAGCTCGGAGGAGGCGTACTTCAAGTCATTCATGGTTAACCTCCTGGAGCTGTTCAGCACAGATCGACGATTGCTGGAAACACGAGGCAGCTTGATCATCCGACAACTGTGCTTGAACCTGAATAGCGAGCGAATATACCGGACATTCGCTGAAATCCTGGAGCGTGACGAAGACCTAGACTTTGCCAGCACCATGGTGCAGAAGCTGAACATCATCCTTATCACATCGCCAGAGCTGCAGGAGTTCAGACGCAGGCTGAAAAACTTGGAATCCAAGGTAAACACCGGCTTTCCTCTGCGCCATCTCCGCTTTAACCCTGCTCTTAGGATGGCCAAAATCTGTTTTCAATACTCTACAAGTCCTGGTGCCACAACGCAGTCGCGGTGTTCTCGCTCTGTCTGTTGGCTCAGGCGTACGAGCATGCATCCAACCTGCTCCAGATCTTGTAAGGCTATCTCTGAAAAGTTCTTGTCATCGGCTGATCAAGCAATAGTGCGGAGTTGGAGATCACTGTGCACTTCCTGGTGCAGATCGACAAGCTGGTGCAACTAATCGAATCTCCCGTGTTCACTTGTAAGTGGTTCAGTCGCTTTTCACGCTGTGCCCCGGCTCACGCTTGGACAGCTCTGAGGTTGCAGCTCTTGGAACCCGACCGATACCCTTATCTCTTCAAGTGCTTATACGGCTTGCTTATGCTGCTTCCGCAAAGTACTGCGTTCATTTCGTTGCGGAATCGCTTGAACGCCGTGAGCGCTCTGGGATTCTTGCATATCGCCCCAAAGACGTAAGCGGCATCTCCAATTCTTGCAAATGTTGGCTCATACCGATACAGAAGCAATGTGGCTGCTGCTCGCTCCAAACTATCTCGAGACGAAGTGAAGTGGCAGGAGCTGCTCTCGCACTTCCGAACTGTGCAGATGAAACACGAGAAGTATCGGCGACAGGCTGCCGGGGGCGACGCTAGCCCCTTGGCAGGGCTTGGATTGGGCTCAAACTTGGCAGCCACCAGTGGAAGAGGACAGGGTCGAAGGACTGCGAACGGCACCAAGGATCCTCCCCAACTGACGAGGGAGAACTCTGGCGGCCGACCGGCTGGTGTTCTTTCTCCGCTGAACCCTCGAGCTCGAGGCTCATCGGGCGGGCAGTTAGCGCCATTGATGTCTGCTTTCTCCGGTACGCCCCGGGCAACAAGCCCCACGGCTGCGAACCCTACCAAACGACGCGGGACATTAGGTGGTCTGCGCAAGTAGTTATCATACATTATTTGTACTCGTTATGCTGTATTATGCTTCTTGATGATGAGTAACGACTTTACCCGCTTCCTGACCCGGACAACATATACTTGTATACCATGATTTGAGCCCGCCCAGGAGTCGATGCACTTATAGTGCATTGGTAAGGGGTGGGAGCACGGTGGTTGTGCTGTGGATTGCAGATCCAATGGTCATGAGTTCGAATCTCGTTCACCCCTGAATAACCTTTTTCTGCCTCCGTTTGCATTCAATTGTGCCATCATGGCCATGCAGCAGCTGCATCTGACCCGGTCTGATCGTCCTCAGCGGTGTGCAAGTGGACGGTCGATTTCAGAACGTATATTCTGTGCAAGCATAAAATGTTTGGAAAGCGATAGTACGAATGCGTAGCAATGAGACTTGTCCGAGGGACGATCAACCACAGAAAGTCAACCCTCCGTCCGTCTCATTCCGTGGAAGCCGGGACCATGCCACCTTGTGAATTTCCTGATTTTGATCGAACGTCTTCCTCACATCGGATTGGCGGTTTAGAAGATTCGCGCCGGAGTCGCGGCGGAAGCGTGGTTCTTGTGGCCGTCCCACGGAATGCCACGATGATCTGCCCGGGTGCTGGAAACCGGACTGGCTTCCAGTTGTCGAACGCGCGACGGTTGTCGAGTTCCTCTGCGGCGCTTGAGCGACGCGCATGAGAGAATCGGAATGACGAGCGGAGCCGAGCAGCAGGAATCGGGATCAGAGAGTGAATGGCGTGCCCACGCTCCGTCTGGCCCTGCTAGCTGTTGAAGATCCTCGAATGCTGCAGATCGTGCCTCGCTGCCAGTATCTCGCCTAGCGGCCACGTATTCGCCGGCCGCACATCCTCGTCGTCTTCCAGTCCATCAATTGCGTCGTCTAGGCCGGCATGCAGCGGGGCGCAGCGTTTCATCTCCTCGTCTACTAGGGGACGGACGCGGTGCAGAAGGAGCTGCTGGGCGGCGTAAGGGCCCAGGGTGTTTAGGCGGACTGAGGCGGAGAGGAGGGCGCGCGCGTGCAGGAAGAGATGCAGCCAGACGCTTCGTTCTACAGCCAACGAATCAGGAGGGATGCACAGGGTGCGAAAGAGGGCCGTACCAGCTTGCAGCCCGAGCGCTGCGGTCAGGACAGCCCAGCAAATGGGCAGGTGTCCACTGAGCTTTCCTCGTCGGATCCGCAGCTTCATCTCCACCACAAAATCTTCCATGTCCACTCCTTCCTCCTCGTTCGGGCCATTGGGCGCCCCAGGAGGCTTCGTGAACCCTTTCGAGTACAGCGTGAGGAGGGCGATGCCTTGGGTGGTCGACGCGCGCCTCGCGACATGGTTGAGCGTCATAGCCTCGTACAGTGCGTCAAGCTCCCCGAGCTTGGCCAGCGCCTCCTCAAGCCCCAATCCCTCCTCGCCGCGGATATACGCCGCCACGACAGCATGCGCATCCCGGACGAACGGGCTCGCGCTCCGAGCATAGCTCGCAACGCTGTTCCGGAGGAACTCGACGGTCCCGTCCGCACCTTGCTTGACCGCTACGCCGCCTGCGCCACCACCTAGGCCCACGCCGCCAAACCCGTGCTTGAAGAAGCTCTCGAGGCCGGCTGAGGCGACGAATGCGCCTGTGGGAAGGTTGCCGTCGGCGAGGAGGAGAAGGAGGTATGCTTCGGAGTCGTCCAGTGACGGCTTTGCGATGTTCGGTGGCGGGGTGAGCTCCATGAGATGAAGGAGGCTCTCGATGGTGAGCTGCTCCTTCACGGCCGTCAAGTACCTGTTCAAACAGCAATGATCATGTTGACATGAGATGTGGGTCCGCGATGCCGCTTCGGACTATGTTTAATGCTTCTTGCGGAAGCAGAACTTGGGCAAGGGCGACGCGCTCTTCCACGTCTGAGCCCTGAACCGTGTCCTCCCTACCGCTCACAATGCGCACACAGCTACACCTCCTCCTGCTCGCAGCAGCAGCAGCGGCAGCAGCGGCAGCAGACCTCTGGCCGACCCACCAGCGGCTAGCACCCTCATTCATCAACACAGATGTGGCACGGACGGTGGAGCTGAGCTCCCAGGCGTACGTAAAGGCGTCGTACTCCATCCAGTCGCTCTCAGATGTGGACAACGATGTGTTCTACTTGACGCTGAGCGAGGAGGAGGAGAAGGTCACAGGGTGGATCGAGGCGAAGGTCAAGGGCGCTTCGGGGGGACTGCAGGTGAAGCGGTTAGGGCAGCATGCGGACAGGTCCGTCCGCCCAGCCTTGGCTAGTGCAGACAACTGACTACCTCCAGCCTGGTCTACGTGTATGCCATCACGCTGCCGAAAGCACTGCCGAAAGGAGAATCCCTTACCCTCCTGATTGACACCATCGAGTCCCACGCCACCTACCCCAAGCCTGCATTCGCGAGCCAGGTGGACAACCACTTCCGGGTCTACGAGGCTGATGGGCTCGTCCTCTCGCCGTACGAGACCACTTCCCAAAGGCTACGAATCAAGTGAGTAGAGCGGGGATCCTATCCTAATTGTTGCTGAACGTCGTAAAGGGCCCCTACCCCCAACATCCGCTCCTACCACATCCCCCCCGCGCTCGAGGCTCTCGCAAAAGACGAGCCCGCCGTCAAGTCCGGGGCGACCGTCACCTTCGGCCCCTTCAAAAGCCAGCCGCCGACGGCTACAAAAGACTTTGACCTCGCACCATACCGCGTATCGGTCGATTTTGAGATGAACATCCCTGCGCTCACGGTGGTCTCGCTGAAGCGGACGGCGGAGGTGAGCCATTGGGGAGCGAACTTGAATGTCCAGGACGAGTATGTTGTGAGGAACGATGCGCCTGAGTACGTTGCTTTCCTGCGCCAGGTAGACTGAGATTGACAGTCCGCTTAGACTGAAGGGCCAGTTCTCCCGTCTGGACTTCCAGATGTCCCAGCACGCGCGGCGCATGTCGCCCGTGATCATCCCCGCTCTCTCCCTCTCGCTCCCCTCCGGCGCGCACAGTGTCTACTACTACGACATCGTCGGCAACGTCTCTACGTCCGTCTTCCGCCCTGCACCCAAAGCCGCGGGGCGGGCCGCGCGCCTGAGCCCGCAGAACGCGCAGCTCGACCTGAAGCCGCGCTACCCGCTCATGGGCGGGTGGAACTACACGTTCACGGTCGGGTGGGACGCGCCGCTCGGCGACTCGGAGCGGTGGGACGAGGTGAACGGGCGGTGGGTGCTCGCCGTTCCCTTCCTGACCCCGCTGCCCGCGACGCCCATCGACAGCGCAGAGGTCAAGATCATCCTCCCCGAGGGAGCGACGGACATCACCGTGCACCCGCCGTTTGACGTACCGCTCATAGAGCGCGGCCACCATATCACGTACCTGGACACGATCGGCCGGCCGGCGTTCACGTTCCACGCTGAGAAGCTCACGGAGAGACATGATGGCCTGATTTACGTGCGTCCCTTCCCTGCCCTTCTCCTCTATAACCCGCTGGTCGTGCTCACGCGTTTTTGGCGATAGATAACGTACAAAGTGCCCACCGCCGCGCACCTCCAAAAACCGCTCGCGGTCGCCGCCGCAGCGCTCATCGTCTTCTCGGTCATGTGGACGCTGAAGCGCGTCGATATGACGATCAAGAAATAGAGTACCTGCGCCCTCATGTCGTGTCGTGTCATGTCGTGTCGTAGGGTGGAGGGGAGGAGCGGGGAATATAATTTTGTGCAATCGGGATTTCATGTGCTGCTGGAGCTGCATGAGTGGGAATAGTAGGAATACATTGCGCGCTGCTTCTGCTCGGTCTGGCGGGCTGCTGCGCGTATTATAATATGCAAATATGCAAGTGTGACCGCTGCCACCGCCGCCTCTACCCACCTCGACCGTCTGCCCCACTCGCCAACAAAGGCCGGCCTGCACCTGTTCTCCGTCACTTCTATCCCAGCACCAGCTCGTAGGCGATCACGACGACATTGACGGCGATGAGCGGCACTGCCCAGAGCCTCGTATCAGCCTCACATCCACATCCAGCTCACCGACCGCCAACCGAGCAGGAACGCGAGCCAGGAAAAGAAAGAAAGAGAAAGGTGGGGCTCACGTCGTAGAAGCGTGCGGACGGCGCCGATGAGGTTCACGAGCTGGGTGCGGACGGACGGGCCGGAGCCGGAGCCGCCGCCGGAGGAGGGGTCGTTGTACGCTTGGTCGAAGCCTGTTGGGTAGGCTGCGGGGGACTGGGTGGAGAGTCCGACTGCGGGGGGTGGGGGTCAACACCTGAATGTGCTCACAGACGGGGGGCTGGAAGGGAAGGGGAGGAGAGGAGAGGGACGGACTGCGTGCGAGGAAGCGCTCTTCGTTGAGGATTGCGATTGCGTTGACGAGGAGGAGGGAGACGTAGATGAGCGTGCCGAGGGAGAAGGCCATCCTTGTATGCAGCAGCCCGGAGCTGGCTGGGTCTCACGTGCAAGAGGAGCAAGAGGAGGCGGTAAGGTGTCGTGGATTAGATAGAGTATGGGCGCCTGTGCACGACGTGTCCATACCGCTCGCTGCCCGCTGCGACCCTGTTGTCGGTGGCTGTGCACTTCTCTGCGCCGATTTCACTCTCTGCCCTTCGCGGTGTGTGCTCTGTGCTCTGTCCGCTGCACCTGCACACACCACAGCGCGATGCGACCGCCGACAGTGTTCTTCGCCGCGGGTGAGTGGTCTGGCCCGTGTTCAACGGCGTCGAGTGGACGGTGCTGACTGCTGATGATGACGGCCCAGTCGCCCGCCCGTGCCTCGCCACCACCTCCCACCTCCGCCCGCACATCCCTTCCCGCCTCCCCGCGCCTCTCCACCCCCCACAAACCCGAGCGTGCGCCCCCCCCCCCCCCCCCCCCCCTCCCCGTCCTACCCCCCCACTAACCTCTACACCAAACACCCAGTGCATCATGGTCCGACGGCCTCTCAGAGCGCCTCCGCTCCTGGATGTCCATGCGCGAGAACGCGAACCGGCAGCGGGACGCCGCTGAGCAACGGCGCGCCAGGGAGCGCGCGGCCGAGCAGGGCGAGGGCAGCATCTTCGACACGGAGGCGGTGAGGGACGTGCAGGAGCTTGAGGTGGTCGAGGAGGCCAAGGCGATCACACAGGGCCGGCCGGCCAAGGTGCGCAAGCCGGCCAAGGTGAAGAAGGCGATCACAGAGGTGCGTCCCCCCTTGCCCTGCGCTTCTGCGCTCTTCAGACCCACTGACTCCGCGCTGCGCGCTCCGCCCG